TATATATAGGCCAGGCAGGTGACTCATGCCTGTAATCCTGGCATTTTGGGAGGCCGAGGCGGGCAGATCACCTGAAGTCAGGAGTTGGAGACCAGCCTGGCCAACATAGTGAAACTCTGTGTCTACAAAAAATACAAAAAAAATTAGCCAGGCATGGTGGTGGGTGCCTGTAATCCCAGCTACTCGGGAGGCTGAGGCAGGAGAATTGCTTGAAGCTGGGAGGCAGAGGTTGCAGTGAGCCAAGAACTGCACTCCAACATGGGCGACTGAGTGAGACTCCATCTCAAAAAAAAAAAAGTATATATACACACGTATATACATAGTATAAGATACATGTATGTACACATAAAATATACTATTTTTTAGTATACATACTGTGTTTTAAGCACTTACATACATTATCTAACCCTGACAACTTTGCAGTGCATGAATTATTGTCCTCATTTTATACATGAGGTTAGGGGAGATTGAGCAGCTTGCCTAAGTGGTGAAACTTGGACTCATCTACAGTACCGCACATCCAATGTGATTTTACTCTGAAATATTTAGCCAGGATTTGCCTTGCCAAAGGCATTAGCATCAAAAAGCTTCAGGATTCCTTTCTGGCTTTAGATTCTTGTGTCTGCCATGGATCCTGCAATAGGTGCTGAGTAAATATGGAATCAATGAAAGCAAAACACCTGGGCTCTTTTCTGTGCTGTGACTACTCGAGAGAGATTCTGCCAGCCAGAATCTTGGCTGTTTTTCTGTTTAATGCTATTATAGAGGAGAGATTGGGCCTTGTCTCCCACTCAGGGAAAGGAAAGGCTGAGGGGTCTGCCCAAAGGGAGTGCGGGTGGTCCTGAACAAAGGAGTTGTAAATCGTTTTGAGATAACACATTAAGCCAAACAACTCCCTAAATCCTAATTTTATTTATTTACTTGTATTTTTGAGACGGAGTCTCACTCTGTTGCTCAGGCTGCAGTGCAGTAGTATGATCTTGGCTCACTGCAATCTCTGCCTCCCAGGTTCAAGCAATTCTCCTGCCTTATCCTCCCAAGTAGCTGGCATTACAGGCCTGTGCCACCATGCCTGGCTACTTTTTTTATTTTTAGTAGAGATGGGGTTTCGACATGCTGGCCAGGCTGGTTTCAAACTCTAGACCTCAGGTCATCCACCCATCTCAGCTTCCCAAAGGGCTGGGATTATAGGTGTGAGCCACCACGTCTGGCCAAATACTAACTTTAAAAGCCTTTATAAACAATGCCTAAGGCTGGGCATGGTGGCTCATGCCTATAATCTTGACAGGGTCTCACTTTGTCACCCAGGCTGGAGTGTAGTGGTGTGTGATCTTGGCTCACTGCAGCCTCGACCTCCTGGGCTCAAGTGATCTTCCCATGAGGCTAGAGGAGATTGAGTACCTTGCCTAAGTGGTGAAACTTGGATTTGTCTACACCACTGCACATCCTGTGTGGTTTTACTCTGAAATATTTAGCCAAGATTTGCCTCCCAGAACTTTGGGAGTCTGAGGTGGGCAGATCACTTGAGCTTAGGAGTTCAACACCACTCTGGCTAACATGGTGAAATCCTATCTCTACTAAAAATACAAAAAAAAAAAAAAAAAAAAAGATGGGCGTGGTGGCACACACCTGTAGTCCCAGCTACCTGGGGGGCTGAGGTGGGAAGATCACTTGAGCCCAGGAGGTCGAGGCTGCAGTGAGCCGAGATCACACACCACTACATTCCAGCCTGGGTGACAAAGTGAGATCCTGTCAAGACAATCCCCCAAAACCAACAATGCCCAGATAATTAAAGTATCTGGGTAATTTAGACACTTATTTATCTACTGGGGCCTGGGTCATTCTGATTTCATGAGTGCTCTTCAAAGGAATCTAGAAATGAAAAATATTAATTAGCAACATTAACAGTAAAGCCCATCTCCTTCCGTGGCAACAAGCTTGCTGAGGAACCTGTTTATGTTTGTCCTCTCCTCACCCTCCTTTCGGAAGGTGTTACCCTATGCCTTGCCCCATTGCCTAGATCTTCATTTGTGCTTTAGAATAGGGTAGATAAAAAAGCAGCTGGTGAAGGTGGAAGAGAGTGGATGGACCTCATCCTATAAGACCTGGCTTGGGATGGGGTGGGGATGGAGGCAGTGGGGTTGTCAGAATCTTAATTAGAGCCAGGAGGAATCTCAAATTCTTTTCACAGATCTTTCTGAGGTCAAGAAGTGACATGACAGGGGTGAAATAGTACAGTTAGTTAGTGTCAGTGTAGGAGTGTAGGGGGTTTGTATTGTTTTCTTTCCAGACCCCAGGTGCATATATGGTAAAGACTCTAAATGTCAACTACGTGAAAGGGCTCAGGGAGGGCCATTGAAAAAGGCTGGGTTGGGACCTCCAACCCCACATTGTGGCCTAACTGCAGTAGGGGAAGCCATGCTGTGGCCGTGACAACCGAACACATCCCGTCTCAAACTCCGGAAAGGAAGAGGGAGGGGGCTGATGTTTGTCCAGGCCTGACGTTAGGGCTCTGTGGGGAGGAGGGCTGGGCGGTAGGCGGTAGGGTGGGTGGAACCTAGCGTCCTGCTAGGCGGAAGGGCGGAGCTTCAGGTCTCCATGGAGACGGCTTCTCCTGGCAACCAGACGGGCGTTGGGCAGAGCCGCAAGCCTGATGGACGCCGAGAGCCTCCTGCTGTCGCTGGAGCTGGCGTCCGGCAGTGGGCAGGGCCTCAGTCCGGATCGTCGGGCCTCGCTGCTCACGTCTCTTATGCTGGTTAAGCGCGACTACCGCTACGATCGGGTTCTCTTCTGGGGCCGCATTCTCGGCCTGGTCGCCGATTACTACATCGCGCAGGGCCTGAATGAGGACCAGCTCGCACCGCGCAAGACGCTCTACAGGTGAGGAGGCCCTCGGTGCGGGGCCGCCGCCGGACCCCAGAGAGTGGCTACCTGGAGAAACGGGGGAGTGGGCGGGTCGTAGCAATCGAAAGGGGCGGGGCCCATAGGGCCAAGGGAGAGGTGGGCGGGAGCTGAGGTGGGTGGAATGGGGCAGGGCCAGAGGGGCGGGCCTGGGGACGGTCGAGGGGTGGTTGAGGAAAAGGGCGGGGATTGGGATGTCTCGGAATCCGAGGCTGGGGAGGAGCCTAAGGGGGCGCGGCCACGGACGCGCGAGGTCCCGGAGGGCGGGGCCCTGCGAAGACCTGTTTTCCGCCTGAAGAGGCCAAGAGAAACTTGGATGCGGATGGTTTACACAAGAGAGGTAGGTCAAGAACGCAGGTGAAGCAGTGGGAAGGTTTCTGGCAAATGCGGACCTGGAGAAGAAGACAGGTGCCAGCCAAGTGTTGGGCCTGGCTCGGTTTGGAGAAGGGTCAGACGCCCGGAGGAGTGGGTGGTGCTCTTTGATGGAGGTGTCTGCTCTGCAGCCGGAGGCACTTTTGGAAGTAGAGAACGAATGCGGAATGGGGAGGGAGCTGGGGAAAATTTCCTGGTCGCTACCATACAAGACCATCCAGCCTCACTCTCCTCTCCCCTCCTCTTTCCTCCCCCCTCCCCTCCCCTCCTCTTTTCTTCTTTTCTTCAGAGTCTCTGTCACCCAGGCTGGAGTGCAGTGGCGCAATCTTGGTTCACTGTAACCTCCCGGGTTCAAGCGAATCTCCTGCCTCAGCCTCCTGAGTAGCTGGGATTACAGACGCTCGCCACCACATCCGGCTAATTTTTTGTATCTTTAGTAGAGACAGGGGTTTCACAATGTTGGCCAGGCTGGTCTCGAACTCCTGACCTCATCATCCGCCCGCCTCGGCCTCCCAAAGTGCTGGGATTACAGGCGTAAGCCAACGCGCCGGGCTATTTATTTATTTATTTATTTTAATTTTTGTATTTTTAGTAGAGACAGGGGTTTCACCATGCTGCCCCGGCTGGTCTCAAACTCCTGGCCTCAAGTAATCCACCTGCCTCAGCCTCCCAAAGTGCTGGGATTACAGATGTGAGCCACCACGCCCGGCCAACCTCTTTTTGACTATAGGGGAACTTACTACCTTATAAAGCAGTCCATTCGGCCAGCCTGTGCCATATAACAAGACCTCATCACTTAAAAAAAAAAAAAAAAAAAAAAAGCTTGGTGGCTCACGCCTGTAATCCCAGCACTTTGAGGGGCTGAGCGGGGCGCGGATCACAAGGTCAGGAGATCGAGACCATCCTGGCTAACACAGTGAAACCCCATCTCTATTAAAAATACAAAAATTAGCCAGGCATGGTGGCGGCGCCTGTGGTCCCAGCTACTCTCGAGGCTGAGGCAGGAGAATTGCTTGAACCCAGGAGGTGGAGTTTACAGTGAGCCGAGATTGAGCCACTACACTCCAGCCTGGGCAACAGAGCGACACTCTGTGTATCAAAATAAATAAATAAATAGACTTCAAAAATTAAAATGTCAGCACATTGACTCATACCTGCAATCCCAGCACTTTAATAGGCTGAGGTGGGCAGATCACCTAAGGTCAGGAGTTTGAGACCATGTTAGTCAGCTAACATGGTGAAACCTGTTTCTACTAAAAATACAGAAAATTAGCTGGGCATGGTGGCAGACAACTGCAATCCCAGCTACTTGGAAGGCTGAGGCAGGAGAATCTCTTGAACTCAGGAGGTGGAAGCTGCAGTGAGCCGAGATTTCGCCATTGCACTCCAGCCTGGGCAACAAGAGTGAAACTCCATCTCAAAAAATAAAGAAATAAAATAAAGCAGTTCATTTAGGCTGCAGGTAGTTGGAGACTTCATTCATCTATCCATGTATCAATCCAACATTGATTGGGTGCACCCTGTGCTAAACTTGGTTGTTAAGATGGCACTGCACATCTGTCTCCGAGTTATTCACGTCCTAGGGAGGAAAACTGATGAGTCAATCAGCAATTCCAGCACGATGTGTTAAAATTAGAGATGTACACAAAGGGACACTAAGGTGGGCATTCTAGAGAAAAACTTAAATAAGATAACGAAAGGAGTAACTTGCACTGAGTTCTGAAAGATTGAAAGATGAGCAGGTATACTACAGGCAGGTTTTGGGGCAAGGCATGCCAGTTAGAGGGAACAGTTAGACAAACTTTTGTTGGCTGGGGAAGGCTCAGAGTGTTTGGGAGAACAGGAGTACAATGTTATGTATAACTGGTTCGTGAGGCAAAAGGATATGGAACTTTGTTCATAGGTCATGGGGAACTACTGAGGGACTTGCAAGAAGAGCCTGCTCAGATCACAGAGGACAGAATGGCCTGAAAGTGTGGTGAGCACTGTGGTTAGGAGTCCATTGTGTTTATATGAATGAACGCTGAAAGGAAGAGGTAGCTGAGGGAATGCAGAGGAGGGGATGGGTTGGAAAGATTTAAGTGCTAGAATTGTCAGTATATGTGACTGATTGAAGGAGGATGGTTGTAAAGAAGAGGTCAAGGCTGAGTCCTCCTTCTAGCTCAGACTGCTGAGTAAGTAAGTACTAACACCACTCAGGAGAGAATTCAGGGGCAGGACTAGGGAAGACATAGTGAATTTGGTGTGAGGTGCCTGAGTTAGAAGGTGTTAAGGCATTTGGAATACAGAAGAAAAAGTTGAACTGAAGATACAGATTTGTGATTCATTTCATGCTATAAGCATTTGCTGAGCACCTACTATGTACTACCATGTGCCAGGTATTGATTTAGACACCAGGAGTTCAATGGTAAATGAAGTCCTTGTCTTCATGGAGCTTACATTATAGTGTGTGTTTAGGGGGCAGAGAAGGGGAGATAGACAATAGCTAAACACACACATCTATTACATGTCAGATGACGTTAAAACCTAAGGGGGATAGAGAATACAGGATGGGGTACTATTTTAAATAGGTGGATCAGGGATAGCCTCTTTGATAAGGTCACATTTGAGAAGACACCTGAAGTGACTGAGAGCATAAGCTATGTAAATATCTGAGGGAAGAGAATTCTAGGCAAGTGCAGAGCCCTGAGGCAGGTATGTGCTTAGTGTGTTTGTGGAACCCCATGGAGACTAGTGTGGCTAGAGAGGAATGAGTGAGGGGAGTGTTGTAGGACACAAGGTCAGAGAGGTAGGGGTGGGAAGCCATCATGCAGGGCCTTGTGGGGCATTGCAAGACTTGGCCTAATGGGAAGCCATTGGAAGGTTCCACAGAGGAGTGACATGATCTGGCTTAGGTGTGAACAGTTGGGTGGGGACTAGTCTGAAGGGGAAATAGATGTGGAGGCAGGGAGACTAGTTAAAAGTCTACGGCAGTATCTAGGTAGTAGGTGGCTTGGGCCAGGGTGGGAGCAGTGGAAGTGATGGGAAGTGGTTGGATTCTGGCTACTGACTAGGCAGTAGCTGGGGCTCTGGAAGGCAGGTGGGTAAGACTGCAGAAAGAAAAGAGGGGTGAGAATAGGTCCCTGGAAATGCCTGAGGCCCTGGAGGAGGGGAAAGGGAGATGTCAGAGGAGATAGAACTGGAGATGCATTTGTTGGTCGTTAGGTGTCATGGCCTTCTCCCAAGCAGTTTCTTGAAGTGGTGGAGGCAGAAATCACAGTGCAGTGGGCTGATGAGTGAAAAGGAGGGGGAAGAAAGGCACTCACAGGGCAATTGTTGTTCTGAGATTATTGTTGAGAGTTGGGGAAGAGGGAGGGAAGGACAGGAACAGCGTTTTCTAGAACGACGGGGATTTGGAGGGCTGCTGTTTTAGTAGGCTGAGCAGTTTTTATATTGAGGGGAATTGGTGGAGAGTGAAGGGCAGAAGGATGAGCAGAGACCAGGCTGGGGACCCAGGCCCAGGGTGTATTTGAGAGGAATGGGAAGGACCTCCTCTCCCAGCAGCAGGAAGTGAGAAAGAAGGGAGCGGGTGGGCCCGGTGAGTGCTCCTGAAGACCTCAAATGAGAAGTCCTTGAGCGTAGGCCTGGCATTCCTGAGAAATGGGAGGAAATGGTTGTGCTGTTGATTCATTGGGCAGGCTGAGCATGAATTTAGGGCCCACCAAAACATGGGTCCCCATAACCGAAGAAAGTTTAGCTATCAGAAACTCATCTGGAATTTCAGTCTGGATATTTAGGAAGAGGCTCATTTAATTTTAGCATACATAGAATGAATGAAATTGAATCTGCTTATACATATGAGGGTGCGTGCACTATTGGCACTTGGAGCTTTCGTTTGTTTGTTTTTGAGTCAAAGTCTTGCTCAGTCACCCAGGCTGGAGTGCAGTGGTGCGTCCTTGGCTCACTGCAACTTCCACCTCCCAGGTTCAATTGATTCTCCTGCCTCAGCCTCCTGAGTAGCTGGGACTACAGGCATGTACCACCATGCCCCGCTATTTTTTGTATTTTTAGTAGAGATGGGGTTTCACCATGTTGGCCAGGCTGGTCTCGAAATCCTGACCTTAAGTGATCTGCCTGCCTGCACCTCCCGAAGTGCTGGGATTACAGGCATGAGCCACCACATCCTGTTGGCACTTGGGGCTTCTAAAGGTCTCACTACAGCATTGGGAGAAAAGATCACAATTTCAACAGCTTTTCCTGGGCCTAACCCACTAGAGAGAAGGGAAGATAGTAGGAAGACTCGGTGAGCAGGGAGTTGGAATCCAGGGGTGATGCGAATATTGTTGGCAGCCTGAATTGCACAGAGTGGAGCCTCTTGCCCCCTGCCACAGAGGAGATGGTGGCGCAGTCGTCTGTGGTGAAGGGCCGCTTCATGGGGGACCCATCACACGAGTATGAACACATTGAGCTGCAGAAGGTGAATGAAGGCGAAAAGGTCTTTGAAGAAGAAGTAGTGGTGAGTGAAGTGGAGGGAAGGATGAGGGCCTAAAAGAGGGCCTGGGCTCATCCAAAACCCAGCCCAGTCCAAATTATGGCAACAGGTACCATCATTATCTCCTTTTTTTTTGAGACAGGAATCTCACTGTGTTACCCAGGCTGGTCTCAAACTCCTGGGCTCAAATCATCCTTCTGCCTCAGCCTCCCAAGTAGCTGGGAGTACAGGTATGAGCCACCATGCCTGGCGACTAATGTTATTACCTTTGTGCCACCTTGGTTATTGAGTATCTGGGTGTGCTAGGCACCATGCTACTGTGTTTGTATCATCTGTTTTCATCCTTAAAACCCTATGGAGTTGGTACATTACTTTCCAGGTTGTAGAGAAGAGGACCTTCTCCTGCCAGTTTAGAGAGGTTAAGTGACGTGCCCAAAGCCACACAGCTAGCTCCTAAGCAACTGGATAAAGGTGGTGGGTAGGTTCTGGGGTGAGGACTGGGAAGAGGTGGTGCTCTGCCCTATACTCTGGGGTCAGGGAATGTGCACAGACTCTCATATTTTAGTATCAGTTTTCATTTCACAAAACAGTACGTCAGATGTTCAAAATTCAAAGGTATAAAAAGGAATATTGTAAAGTTTCCTCCTATCTCTGTCCACCAGTCACATAGGTCCTCTGTTTTAGGGGACATTAACTTTTTTGTTTGTTTGTTTTTGAGACAGAGTCTCGCTGTGTTGCTCAGGCTGGAGTGCAGTGGCGCCATCTCGGCTCACTGCAACCTCTGCCTACTGGGTTCAAGCAATTCTCGTGCCTCAGCCTTCGGAGTAGCTGGCATTACAGGCACCTGACGCCATGCCCAACTAACTTTTGTATTTTTAGTAGAGACGGGTTTTACCATGTTGGCCCGGGCTGGTCTCAAACTCCTGACCTCAGGTGATCCGCCTGCTTTGGCTTCCCAAAGTGTTGGGATTACAGGCGTGAACCACCGTGCCAGCCTGACATTAACTATTTTGCATGTGCATGTGTGTGTACATACATGTATGTGTGCATCTAAGTTTTCCTCCTCAAAATAGGGTCTGGATCGGAAGCTTTATCATGTCCTAGGAGTTAGAAATATAGAATCTTGGACCCCAGCATCAGGCATCTGCCTTTTAAAAAATCCCCTGGTCATTTGAATTCACACTAAATTTTATTTTATTTTTAAGATGGAGTTTCATTCTTGTTGCCCAGGTAGGAGTGCAGTGGTGCGATCTTGGCTCACTGCAACCTTGACCTCCTGGGTTCAAATGATTCTCCTGTCTCAGCCTCCTGAGTAGCTGAGATTACAGGCATATGCCACCATGCCTAGCTAATTTTGTATTTTTAGTAGAGACAGGGTTTCTCCATGTTGATCAGGCTGGTCTCGAACTCCTGACCTCAGATGATCCACCCACCTCGGCCTCCCAAAGTGCTGGGATTACATGCTTGAGTCACCGCGCCCGGCCTGAGTTCACATTAACTTTCTAGATGCTGCTTCTGGAGACATTTCATGCAAGTATAAGCCTCAACAAACACCATACCTATACATATTCTCTTTTTATCTTAAGAAACAAAACAAAACAAATGG